CTACTCAGGGATCACTTTGGCCAGTGTGCTGTGGAAGAGCTAAGTTGGGCTACCGGGCGTACTGAAGTCCAAAGTTCTAAAAATCTAACAACCCCACAGTCCTACGGGTGGGGAAAAAATCACATCAACAAGCTAACAAGAAACAGTTGCTGCAACCAATCTGCAAGCTCCTCAATCACGTTAATCTTGTATTGACCGTCAAACTTTTCCACCAAACATCTTGGATCTGAGTCCGAAAGCTGGCCGGTGATTCGTGCTCCTCCATTTCTTCGTTTCTTTTGGTTCTCCCTGGTCTTATTCTGGTCGTCTGGATTTTCATTCTGCTCCTGCTCCTGCTGCTGCTGCCGCAGCTCTTGCTGTCGCCGCTTGTCCTCAGCTTTTTTGATTTTCTTTGCTTGCTTGGCTTCTTCTCGTTCTCTGGCTGTACGTTCCAGTTCCAATGCCTTTTTGATAGCCTTGCGGCTCGATTTCCATTCAGTGGCTGCTGTAACCAATGAAGTTCCGACAGCTGTCAGACGGGCCAGTGCTCTTGTGTGCAGCTCAAAGGTTGCCATGACTGAGTCAATGTCCGGCAAAAGCTCAGCGGTGTCTCGAGTTGACTCTAGATGACCAAGAGTTTGAACTTCGCTTTGCTCCAAATCTGGAAGAGATGAAAAGTAAGGATCTCCTTTCATCATCTTCCAAAGTTCAGATTCCTGTGCATCAATGTCCGCTGGTTTTGCTGACTTGTGGGATGCAATCTCAACCTCAACTATCATCAGCATCAGATGAGAAAGGAAGAACATCGCTGTGCATTCTGTCAAAATTAAGTTGAACCAAGCAACCATTTTCTTTCGAGACTCAATCTCTGCAATCCGTTGGTCAGCTTGGAATTGCTCCCTGTCCTCATAAATCTCAGAAGCCTCAGACAAAGCAAGGTAACAGTCAAACCAAGTATTTGTGAATATTAATGTTCACAAGATCATCTAAACTCTTGATTGAGGCTAGCCACCTCTTTCAGCACTTCGTCGGCTTTGGTGATGCCCTGCTGCAGCTGATCCCTGCAAGCCATAAATTGCTTCATTGTCAACCGCTTCTGGTTGATTGCGCAGGCCACAGGACATTTGTTCTTGGCACAACCACCACGACGTGGGAGAGAGGGCACAGGCCCAGGCTGACGTGGATGTCCACTTGGTTGGGAAGAGCCAGAGGCAATAAACGATTGCCCAAAGATGTTGTCATCCTCCATCAGCTCGGCCACACAGCTCTTAGCCTTTGCATCCATGTGTGCGCTGGTTGCGTCAGTCAAGTTCTTCGCGGACTCAACTTGCTTCACTGCGTCAATCGATCGCTCCTGAGAAAATCATAAATGAATATATAAATTAAGTAATGAAGTGTCAGTGATGGTCACAACAAATGGACAATTGATTGCTGCCATTGCCACTGCCAAACATCACACATACACTTTTTTTGCCCAAGGGAAGCACCGTCAGTGTCATATCATTCGCAGCCAGACAAACACACACTGCATGACAGCTGGTCAACCAGCGTGCTGTGCAATTGGCTTCTGCATGGCCACTCTCTAGTCTGGTCTGTACAGCAATTCCTTCACGGTGCAACTGAACTGCACAAATCAGCCATGTCGGCGGCGTGACCTAGACCTCGAGCGCGACCGGCCCTTCTCATAGTCATAGCCTTGTTCAGAACTAGGCAAGCTTGTTGGTGGAGATGCCTGCATTGCCAACTCATCATTCATGCGGCGGATCTCTTGCATGATCACAACGAGAGAAGCCAAGATGAGCTTTTCAAAGGACTCCGTTCTTGCACTTTTTGGCGGTTGTCCAGGAGAATCTGTAGACGAGCAAGTATTGTTCTCGTTGGTCACCCTTTGAGCAAAATTCAGCGCAGCCATCATGCCCTTGAGAAAGACCTGCTCCGGCGGTGCGCCTGCTGTTCCATTCTGGCGCGATATTTGCTCTGTCTGATTCTCTTCAGGACGGCGAGACATGCCAGGTGGCAAGGAAAGCAAACTGAATCACTGCACAAGCTATTGAAACCTTGTTGAACCAAGCAGCTGACTCACAGATCTGAGTCTCACAATCCAAAACATGCTGTTGGCTGCACTGCTGCTGGCAATCCTCTACCCTTCTGTGTTCAAGTGCATGCCAACCGACCGAAACCCAGTGTCCTTGAAAGAGAAGTTTTTCTTCTTTTTGGGGATCGCGACATAGATATTCCAAACCTCAAAGCCAATGAACAAAGTGCAAAAGAAACTTTGAACAAGAAAGACACAAGAACACATCAAGTCTAAATGCATTCTATGAGCCAGCTCTCCTGTAACCTCTCCTTGTGGAGAGAGACGTGGCGCTTGGAACTTGTCAATATCCGGGTTCTTGAAGTCTGCCCGCCACTTGGCTTGCGCGCCCTGCTCTGTCAGTCCTGACTGCTAACGAATGACCAACAATTTGCAAATAAAAGGTGCAATTTGCAGCATGCATTGAGCATTCAAAGTGTTGCAAAGTAACGCTGATATGCAGGGCAATCTGGATGCTTTGTGTAGTAGGCAATAAAGTCTTCATAGCAAAAGGGCTTGTAAGACATGCCCTCTTCCACGCGTTGTCCATCACGCTGTGTTTTCACAATCTTCCCAAAATCAAACTTGTTCTTCTCTGATGGCCTCCCAGCTGCTTTGCGCCTTGCCAGAAACAAATTGCTGTCATGAACGTTTGAGGGAGCAGTTGAACAAGTCAAGTTTCAATCTGAAAGACACATACATGATTTCATAAGGTAAAATCAAGATGCGTTTCGGAGTACTGGCACAATAGTTTAGCATAGGACTCGGGGTCGTTCTGAAGCTTCTCATCGAGGATCTCTTGCTTGCCAGCCCTTTTGCCCTGATCGTAGAACTGGATGTCCTTCTTTTCGTGAAATCCACAAAGCTGAAGGGGCCTGACACCAACACAAGCATGACATAATGACCCCGTACTAATACATACTAATACTAATACTATATTATATATACTGGGGAGGCCCACTTTGGCGACCCTGGAATCCACTGCGTTTTTGGCGCTTGGTTTTGGGGCCGTCAATGGACAAGATTTTCCCACGCGTCGTGATCCGCTTGGCCGCTTCACATTGTTCCTGATCAGTCAGCTGGTCTTTGGAAGCCGGGTGTCCCTGACGCAGGGCCGCGCAGGACCAGCTGGAGTGGAAACTGCAGGGAGAGAGCACGGGTCCTGCAATCACGCTGTGGGAGAATAGAATTATTTGTAGAATAAAACAAGTTTGCAGGACCACCATGCCGACTTGCTTTTGGATACTAGTGGTCTCCAGTCCGACCTGCTTGTGGTGGAAGCGAGGGCCCGTGGGCCATTTTTTTGGGCAAGAGTCACAAAGAAGTGGGGAACAGCAAAGGTAGCCAGATTCACTGTGCCAAAAAAATTTTCTGGGAGCAGCAAAGATTGCAAGATTCAATCTTTACTGTGCGACAAAGCTTCTGGGAACAGCAAAGGTAGCAAGAT